AGCTGTATAAAGAATAAAAAGAGCTGTATAAAGCCTGGCGATGGAAACCTGCGGGATTTAGGCACGTGCGTCCCCACTGGAAGGGACGGTTACGCTCAGTACCTGCCTCGGTTGCCCACCTAGTAGGAAGTTTCAGACTGCGTCTTCCCACTCAGGCTTTTTTTTTTCTCTATCGATGCATTTTCTTGTCCATCCATTGAAACACATCACCACCCTCGTCTGGAAGAAAACCTTCCTCTCTCTCAGAGCTGGAGGGAAGAGATGCAACCACAGTGGGTGGAAATTTTCCCACTGAAGCATTTTTTTCAGTTGAAGATGTCTTTTCACACTACACCGGGTCCTTCATGAATGCGAGAACATTATACATCGGGGGGGTTGGTTTTTTTTTTTCCCCCTAAAAATTCCATGCTTCAGGTACTGCATTTTTTGGCAACTACAAACTCCCATTTGTTTCGTGGAGAGAGACTTTGGGTGGAAACCCCCAAACTTTCCAAGAAAAACACTACAACTGAAGTTGCTTAAATGCATATGAAAATTTTGGCAGAGAAAAAAAGACATTCCAGCCCCCTTCTGTTGTTTTCTCAGTAGTTTTACATGGTTACAGTAGTTTTACATGTTAATTGGCATGGTAACTAATGGCCAGCTATTCCTTCCGTGGAGTTAAATGGGGTATAGAGACCAGAGGCTAATGCCTGTGCACGCACCAAGGTGCGATACACCCCCGACCAACGCGGGATGCTGCTCCTACTACAGTAGGTATTTAAAATAACAGCATGTTTAATGGTACCTGGTGAAAAAGAAATCACTAATGACAATCTGCTGAGGAAGCAGAGAGAAGAATGAGATTTACTAGTGACAAGTGCTAGTGCAGGGCGATCAGGATAGCGCGTGGTTTTAAAATGAGTATTATTTTAGGAACAGCACCTTTGTGCCTGACAAGGGGGTAGTTTCTACACTAAAAATGCAGCCACGTGTTACATCTTCTGTTCGTGACCTGATTTAGGTTTTGTGGTGTGCCCGTAGCCTGTCTTGCTGCCCTATGGCTGGAGTGGAGGGTTTGGTCAGAAAGGGCCATCTTGGTTATTAAAGGGTTTAAGACGGGCTTCAGGAGGCTCCGAAAATTGCCAAAAGCCACGTTGGCAGCCAAATAAAGAAGACGATTGTGGGAATACCAGATGAAGGGGCTGGATGGACGATTACAGGTGCCAGGGTGATCGTGGCGTGGTGGCCGACCACGACACAGCCACGCTGCTGTCCCTGAGCCTATCCCCAACTAGATCTGGTTTTCCCAGATTTTATCCAAAGGTCAGGATTTAGTTTAAAATAAAAACTCATGCCCCGATCATCTGCAGTCCTTACTGCCTTGGGGAGTCCTTTCCAGACCAGTTCGTATTTCCTCGGTGCTGCTGATGTGCGGGAGGCTGAGGGAGAGGAAATTCCAGATTAGATTTCACACCAGCCCCGAATACCAGTGGGCTTTTCCCTCTGGAATATGCTTTTGCTGCCGGCGAGCGCCAGGTTGACCTCCACAGACACTGCCGTGCCGGGGCCGGAGCCGGGCTGCCCTTAAACCGCAGCGGGATTTCGCCAGTACATTTGGCTAACTCTGGAGACATTTCCCCGAAGGGTACAGACGGCGTTAGATAGGGCTGTCGAGTGTTTTTTTAATAAACTGGTGCAGGTGTGGATGAAGGGACTGAGATGACGTTTGGGATAAAAGAATAATGATGAAAAAATACAATAAAAAGCAAATCAGCTTATGATAAGTAACTGAGCATGGATGGGGGAAGACAAAATAGCATTGGGCAGCAGGAGCGATGCAAAATACAGAGAATAAAATTTGCACTTGCCTATTCCTGGTGTGCCTTGCAGACAAAAACGCTGGTGGAAAGGCACAGATCTCCGGTGGATCCCATCCTGCCCTTGTCTGTAGAAACCCACCTGGCCCTGCAAAGAGCGGGGCACGGCCCAACGGAGCAGCTCAGGGACGGATGGGGATGCAGGCAGGCAACGGGGTTTGATGTACAACGGGGTTCAGAAAGACAAGTGCAGGGCATCGGGGAGACCCAGCCTTCGCAGAAAACCTGCTGGGAAGTCTGGCTATGCTTAAGAAGGAAAAAAACCTGCCACAGAGCAAAGGGAGAGAGAGGATTAGCTGGAGGAATCCATGCTGCTACTGCATCCTCAGCATGACAACGGCAGGATGTATCTCTAAAAGTCCAGCTGCCCAGAAAAACATCTCCAGCATCCCAGGAAGGCGGGCAGCTTTTTCTGGGAATTTGATCCTGCGAAGCACAACAGAGGATGGGGAGAGGAGGAGGAGGGACGGCGTGCTGGCCTCCCCGAGCCCAGCCGCGAGGTGCGATTCGAAGGCTTCTCAACTCAGTGGGCCACCATCCACGGGGGAGGATGGTTTTTTGGCACTAGCAGCAGGGCCTCGCAGGACCTCACAAATTGCAGGCAGCTCCTGGGGACGCCCAAATGATGCTGAAGGGGAAAGACATCAAAGTGATCTTAAAAAAATCACTCCTGTTTCACAGGGAAAGAAAGGAAAAAGGCAGCTAAACGTGGAATTAAATACCAGGTTGTTTAAGCGGTGTAGGGAGGTTTGTGTTTTCCCAGGGTGAGGCCATCCGTGGTGGAGCCGTAGAGCTCAGCTGACCTCCATCTCAAAGGGAAAAGCTCCTGGGGGGTACTCTGGCCAGCCAAGCCAGGGGCACCTTAGCCTGATAACGTAACGGAGGAGGAACGAGGGCACCGGTCCACACTCCCCGCAAAAAAAAAAATACAATTGGGAAATCACAGGATGAAAAAAGAATTAACGCAGGACCTCACAAATTGCAGGCAGCTCCTGGGGACACCCAAATGATGCTGAAGGGGAAAGACATCAAAGTGATCTTAAAAAAATCACTCCTGTTTCACAGGGAAAGAAAGGAAAAAGGCAGCTAAACGTGGAATTAAATACCAGGTTGTTTAAGCGGTGTAGGGAGGTTTGTGTTTTCCCAGGGTGAGGCCATCCGTGGTG